TTTTGAATTATTACTCTTTTCTTTTCCTTCAGGAAAGTGCTATGGCTGTTTTCTTTTCTTTTACAAATCTCCTCATCACCATCGGAAGGTGTATACCTCCTAGTCTGACAAAAGTCTGATGGGAAAAGTTTTGTTATGCAATTTAAAAGCTGTGTGGCAGGCCAAAGATCCTAAAAAGGAATATAACTGCAGGCCTGACATGCTATCTCTTTGGACTGTTGCATGTAACACAAGACTAGGTTGCTATTACAATACTCCAGTTTCTAACTGATTTTTATTAGATCTGTTAAAGCTGAGAACAGGATTCTTTTATAATTGATTCAACAGTATACCACGTCCCTAGCATCCCACACAGCTTTTAAATTGCATAACAAAACTTTTCCCATCAGACTTTTGTCAGACTAGGAGGGATACACCTTCCGATGGTGATGAGGAGATTTGTAAAAGAAAAGAAAACAGCCATAGCACTTTCCTGAAGGAAAAGAAAAGAGTAATAATTCAAAAACATCATCTAAATACATTTTAAAACATCATTGGGAATGGAAAAATAGAAGTATGTTATTGCAGGAAAATAAGATTTTGGACAAAATTGGAAGATAGAATTTGGCACAATGTTACTTATAATATACTAGCCAATAACTTGGCATTGCCTGGTTATTTATTGATACTCCCTTACCAGAGGGAGTACTGTGAAGCCATTACCATGGCAACTCCACTGCACTGCACAGTAGAAGCCATTTTATGGAAGTATGATAGAAGCCATTTTAAGACACAACAGGCTATATCTTAACAGAACATACCCCCCAAGGAGTTTTGGGGTGTCTTGCTCCCACAATATTTGTTTCCTGAGATTAAGCCATCTGTGTACCAAGTTTGGTTGAAATTACTCTAGGCATTCCAGAGTTATACTGGAACACACATACACACAGAGAGATATAGATGACAATCATTGACACATCTTCAATGACAGTAGTTTGTCATATGAACATTAACATTCCCAGTTTTTCCTATATCAAACTATTCTGGCTGTTTAGTACATGATTACTACTTTTGTAATTGTTATCACAATAACATTTTTTTAACCAAGTTGAAGCTTTTTAGATAATATTTATTCTTCTAATCTTCTCACAGTAGTGTATCGATCTTTTATTGATCTCAACAAAATGAATTGGGAAGGAGGACTTCCTTCTTTTCCTAAAGAAAATTTCTAAAGTGTCCTGTTAAAGATAAATGTTTCTAATATCACGCCTGACCGATTCAGGGATTACTGGCTCTCTGTTTCAAGTCATGTTGTAAGCAGAAACCTTCACAGTATGTTACTCATGGTAATGAAACATTAAAATGGAAAATCTTTTAGTATTTTATCATAGTAGGATAATTTTATTGCTTTATTTTTTTTTACAAAAAATCTTAAGTTATTTGGTTGCCTTGAGCTGAAGCTATCACTGACAGCATTGCCATGCTCTAAAACACTAACTTGTTCTAACTTGCCTTATAGATGGCATTCCATTCAGCTGGTGGATTGGAAAAATCAATGAGACACAAACATACTGGGGAGGTTCCACTCCTGATGTGCAGAAATGTGCTTGTGGAATAGAAGGAAGTTGCATTGACTCCGAACATGACTGTAACTGTGATGCTGACAGAAATGAATGGTGATTGTTTTCCCTCTCATTTCTTTTGTTGTCAAGGCTGAATGTTTTTGTATGTTTCTAACTCTCTTCTCAGGTGGCGGCGAGGAAATATCAGAGTACTCTTGATAAGGCTGCCCTCAGTATTCCTCCATTACAATTTCTTAAAATGCTTCATCCCTGCATGGCCACTCAAACCCAAAATTGTCTAAGATTTCCTTAGGTCTGATCTAACTGTTCCTTAGCAGGCATTTTCAGGAAATTCTTAGATGAGACAGAATGGGCAAATGAATTAGATAAACGATTGTTTTGAAAAAAGTTTGAATCTTTCCTTTCATTTACTTTCCTCTCCTCTCCTATCCTCTTCTCTCATCTCTTCCCCTTTCCCCTTCCCCTTCCCCTTTCCTTGTTATAATTCAAGAGTCAAATATAGGGACTTGTACTTGCTTATTAAATATAATTTTTCTTCTGAGCAAAAGAATATTGTTCTGGTAATCAGTTGATAGAGTAACAAACCAACAGCATCCTGTTGATAATTTGAGAAAATCTGAAGGAATTCCTTAATATCTGAGAGAATAAGAAGAAATGGATAAAAAATGAAATGGTTTTGATGAAGATTTTTGATTTTTGTGATTATGGGAAACGGTGAGTTTATATTGGTCATAATCATAGTTTGATATTTCATTATGTCAGTAGTATTGTATCTATGGCCAAAGAAATATCATTTTAAGACAGTGAAAGATGCTCAAAAAGCAGGAATTTATGTTATCTTGTACGAATTAGTCTATACTTTCATGGATAGAGATATTCCTGCCTACCCAGCTTCTGAGCTACTAATACAATAACATAGAGGTATTATGTATGCTGTGTGTATTTTGCATGATAAAATAAAGGATCCAGATACAAAATTATCAACAAACCAGTATTATAAGTTTGGAAGACCACATATTACTGTCACCGGAAAAAGCTCATAAACTTGGATAAATGTTAGCAAATTATCTTTTTTTATTCTCATGAAGGGATTACTTCTTTGGACAGCAAATAATCACTGATTGGCTGGCAGGTTTCCATGCTCAGATATTCAACCAAAAGGGAAAACTTTGATTGCTAGTTCCCTGTGACCGCTAGAGTCACAAAAATTAGACCTGCCATGCACACAGCATTCTGAGTAGAACTCTATCTATCTTAATGCTTTTTTAAAAGATGGATTGTAAAAGCTCATGATGTTGCAGCAGTTCATAGCCTTTACCATATATCAATTATAAGAATGGGACATGAGACCACGAAGGTAAAAGAGATACAGGTTTATTGATGCATCAAGTTCAGAGTGTTAACACATCAAGATTTGAACTCCTTGGGCTCCACCCAGGACACTAGTTTTATACCGTGCTCCAAACTGAGCTTTCTCAAGGCGTTTCCATAGATGAGACAAACAAGACATTTTGAAAAGGAGAAGTTCATTTTGGAATGTTACAAAGGGAGAAGTACATAGAAAAAATACAAAAACAGAATGTCTTGAGCTATCGACAGTTTCATCTCTGTTCTATCTTCCACCCATGCTTGGCTTCCTGTGCCCCTCCTTTACAGCATCTTGCCACACTGTTCCAGTAAGGTTTGTTGCAACTTAATAAAAATCCACATTAAGTCTATATTGATATTTAAAAGCTAGTAAGAATTTAGAGGCTGGGGGCTCATAACCAGGTGATATGGTGATATTTTGGCCGTTTTCTCCCGGCTGCCTCAAGGAAACAAAATAATGGTCATTAGAAAGAGTTCCTTCAAGAATTAGAAAAACCTTTGCAAATGATCTTTTGTATGTTGAAAAAAAATTACATAATCTGGATATGGGGTTGGAAAGATATTAACCGAGTGAAAAAATCTACTTTCAAAATTGCAGAGAATATTTATCTCAGAATCTGTCATATTTCTTCATTATATTGAATATGTTAGATTAGTTTCTTGCAGACTTAACAGAATTGTTTTTAAGAAACGGAAAAGAAGGAAATACTTTTCAGTATGCAGAGAACAGTTTGTCTGAGATACACTAAAGGAAAGATCAGTGAATGACTGCTGTCATACTTTCATGCCAGAGTATGATAAAGATGGAAAATTTCAGAAAGCATTACCAAGTCAAAACATTTGTCATAAACATTCAATTCAGGAATCGGAGCCAAATCAAAATACTTTCTTAAAATAATGTTGCATTGATTAAAACATTAATGTAATTTAATAATACAGACAAAGTTTTCATTAATGCTGCCTGCCAAAATGCAAGAATGTTATTATTCTTAACCAACTTTTAATTTTTAAAGCCTACTATGGCTGTAATCTGCCATCTAATTTTATCACAATACTGGTAAATGTCAATTGCTTTAAAAAGAGAAAGAACTGGGGTGTGGGGAATCTTTATGTTTGCTCTTTTGTGATTGTGACAACTTTATCCTTTCATAATCATCTAATATTTTTGCAAAGTTCTTCTTAAAAAACCCCAATCAATTTGCATTTTCCTCATAAATAAATCTGATTTTCACTTGTTAAAAGGCAGCCCATTTTTAAAGCTAAATATAAATATGCAAATATACAGTTTGGAAAGCAAGCATATTTGGTGCTGGATTGCTAAGCTTTGTTAAATTTCTAAAAACACACCTATGAAACATTACATCACTACTTCAGTATTTAAAAATAGGAAAACTTTAATTTGAAATCCTGAGAATGTTTCTGAGAAAGGCATATCCCTGATTTTTATTCCCTCCCCAGAAAAAGATATTTTCCTTCTGTCTCAACTAGTAGATTCAAAACATTGTAGAATATTTTTTTTAAATTATCTCACTGTTCTACTGTGCTACTAATGATAATCTCTGAATAAAGTTTTATTTTTGGCTCATCATTGATGTTACACAACCTCACTCTGTGTACTACTTCTCTTTTTTTCTTTTCTGAAGTATCCAGAAGGATTCTTAAAGCACTTTTTCTAAGTAACAAAAAATATTAAAGGACATAAACTTTTTTGACCTTCAGCTTACTTCATCAGATCAAATCTTATGCCAGCCCTGAGGGATGAGTGGAATTCTCTTGTTAGGCACAGTGGCATTAATGTTCTGGGAAAGGTGGCAGGGAGGATTGCAAATGGCAATCAAAGGATCACAGAGCCCTTGGCAACCTGTTGTAAGTTGCCAAGCACTAAGATTGTAATCACGTCACCATGGGGCTGCTGCAGTAGCTGTAACGTCAGGGACTAGTCATAAGTCCTTTCATTCAGCACAATCATGACTTTGAAGGGTCGCTGAATGAATCACAGTAATCAAGAATTATCTATAATTTAACTCAAGGACGAAGTTAAAAAAAATGGTGTCCCATTCATAGTTGTAGGAAAGTTATGTTTTTACTTTTTTTAGAGAATAGAAAAACAGTTATAATACTGAGAGCAATTCTCAGAAGATCAAGCTTGCCAAAGAAGCACAGGGACTTTGAAACTAGATCTCTTGGAAAACCTCTAGTTTATTACATTCTATGAATATTTAATAAATATTGAAAATAAATATTAAATATACTAAATTGATTTGGTGCATTTTCATAAATTGCTTTGAACCAGTTTGATAAATTGAATCAATAGTTTAGTTTGATCATATCCAGGAAACATGTCCAGATCAATTTTGATGGATTCATTTAAATGAACTTAATGCATCCTAACTGATTTCATTGGATTCAGATGCTGTCTAGACATGCATGTATGAATTTTAATAGTACAAATCTGAATCAATTTGGATTTAAATCAGTCCAGCTCCTATCTACTTTTAATACACTTTGAATGTTCAGATGAAAACTGATAAAATTTCTCAATTAATTGGAATGTTTATTCAATTCTAATAACTATTGTTTTTCAACATACTATGTTTGGGGTCTTATTTTCTTTTGACTCTCAAAATAAGTGCTTGGCCTTATTTTCAGGGGGGTCTTAATATTTTTGAGGTGCAGGAGGCCCCTTAACCTTAGCCTGCAGATCAGCTGATTCAGAGAGGGCCAGAAGTGCTGTCTCTGTTTCTGGCACACTCTTGCCAGCCCTAGCATTGCTGGGCCTGCCACTCTTTTTGTGGCTGCCACTAAGATAAGGGGCATAGTAGCTAGGGTTTGCAAGAGCTACCTCCGTGAGGCCATTCCATGTGGATGGCAGGTGCATGTGGGGGTGCATGGGACATGTTTCCCCCCTTTGCCCCCAGGAAATGAGAAGGACTGGCTGTGCATGCATTTAAATATTTTAGGGGAGGGCTTATTTTAGAGCACACACTCAAAAGCCCAATTATTATCCAGGGAGGTCTTATTTTCAGGGAAACAGGGTACTTTTTTATGATTTACAAGGAATAGTTGCCTGTTCTGTGGACATAAAATATCTAACTTTGGAGGCGATTGACTAATAAAGCAAGTCTTCAAATTTTGAGTAGCAAAAAAAAAAAAAAGACATTAATCCTCTTATTTTTAATTTTATAAATTCCACAGATTTTGTTCAAAAAAATATGTCCTCAAACACCCAGAAAAGGTTAAGATTCTCCCATCCTTACTGTAATGAAAGAAACCTAAACATTGGATATTTTCTTTTGAAAAACATGAACAAAGTAAGAGTTACATGCTACCCTGTAGTAATTAGACTTCAAAAACCATGATGACCATTTGGCCCCAAATCATTGATTTGTCACAGAAACAGATCATGGTTTAGGTTTGTAGCTACCTGTAGCTATCGTGGGCTTTGTATGAGCACCCTCCCATATTCAATGCCTTGGAGATGACCACCAATCAGAGTCAGAAAATGTCTGCCAATAGGTGATAACATTTGCTGAGCTGATCAATATTCTGACTCAGTACAGGTGGTCCTTGTTTAAGAACCATTTTTTCCACAGACCATTCAAATTTACAGCACCAAGTTAATAATGCTTACAATCAGTTCTTGTACAGTGGTTGCAGCGTCCATAAAGTCATGTGATCATTATTTGGCTATTTTAATGATTGGCTTGAAATTATCACACTGCAAT